TCTTAGGTAGGGAATAATTTCTTTTAAAAGTATTTATTGGAAAAAATATCAAAAAATTTAATGCCATTGAGCTATTTACATGGCTAGAATATTTAATCTTCATGGTGATGTTTACCTAGTGTTGATATGTTTTATTTTTTACTTTTTCAAAAGTAAAAGTAGATTACTTTTATTTGAACAAAAATGCTCTAAAACCGAAAAAAATCTGTTGAGAATAACTGAAAAACTGTTCAGTCTAAATGTTTAATATGTTTTGTAAATATCATCTTTAGCATGTCATCTACAAATTCCTTTAACTAGTCGATCCGAGAGGGGTTCTTGGTAGACTTGAAGTCGTATGTGTCTTAAGAGCGAGTGGTCGTATCAAAGTTGAAGAAGAAGTAAGCTTTCCAGTGCATTGTGCGTAGAAACTACTCGATTTTTTCGACGAGGCGTTGTGAGAAATCGTTCTGCGATGGTTGAATATTCCTCAACCATCACGAAACAACTTCTTACGACGCCTCGTCGAAAAAACCTCGGCAAATTTTCTGTTATCTGTTTCTCTCGGTGTGGCGTTTGAAAAGGCCAGTCCGTCGTTTCGGTAAAGTCTTATGTTGATGTTTCGAAGTTGGGAAAGGCTTCCTACTAACTCGCAGGTTTCAGCACCGTCGTAGCTGCCCATTGGGACGTCAAATGTTGTATCGACCTTCTTTTACCAAGGTCGACTGTTTTGCATGTGTTACATGATGTTTCTTCGTCGTTGGTGACGTCGTAGGCTGAAGCAAAGTCGAGTACTCTGTTCAGGAGGTCTTGGCTAATGGAGGGGTAGAATTCTTCGATGTCGAAGCAAATAAAACTGTGGTGCTTTTTTGTTTTTAATAGCTTTAAACCACTCGATCACAGATGGCGTGTTGCTCTCGTGATTTTGTTGATGATTCTGTCGAGGATTGCTTTGCTGCCAATCTCGGATTTGGTGGGGCTGATTAGTCGGCAAGTCGGTTTGTTAACGAAGTTCGGTTTGTAGTCTCTTAGAGCTATGAATGATACAGTACCCCTCGCGTATGTGTTAACTGCGAAGGCGAATTACATACGCTTAGACGCACGGTAGTCAGGCGCACATATACGACTGTTTTGCGCGCACGGTGGAAAAAAATGTCCAACTCATGTGCCTTTGTTATTCAGTACTATAAGTATCCTTTGCATTACATTGGTGTGTAAAACAAAGAACTTTTAGGTTTGAAAATGAGACGAGTCGACAACGGAAAATTTACATAATGTCAGTGTAGCTATAATGCTACACTGACGCATGTCGCATCGCTTCGCGAATTTATGGAATAACGAGTAGTAGCAGAAGATTTCCTTGATTTGAGTTGTTGATGAATTAGCTGGGAAGGAAAATGTCACTTACAAAAGGCATCGAAACACGGGTATAATTAAGCGAGTAACGAAGCGAATACTCACTAATAATTACTGACCCTCATAAAATCCTATTGTTCTCTCTCAGCATTATATCGGCGATTTCAGCCTGAGAAAGTATTCATATTCAGTCAAGTCCAGGGGCGACTGAAATCGTCGATGTAATGCAGAGAGAGAACAATAGGATTTTATGAGGGTCAATAATTATAATAGTTAATTACTGAGGTTCGCAGCATTATTGGGTATAATGCTGCGAACCTCAGTAATTATCTATTAAATATTGCTTCCCAATTTCGGGCAACCCTAAAAGCCGGAACGGCCGAACGGCGGAATGGCGCTACTACCGACTAAGGTGCTCAGTACCACAGCCACCGAAACTTTATGGTCTGCTGAAACTACACAAACCTGGTTTCCCAATGCGACCTATTGTTTCCTTCTGTGGTTCTCCGACATACCAACTGTCCAAGTACCTAACGACAATACTACAACCGCTCACCGACAAATCCAGACGAAAACTACAATCCACCGAGGACTTCATTAACGCCACTAAGACTGTACAGATACCTGACGACTACAAACTAGTGTCAATTGATGTGAAATCGCTTTTTACAAGTATTCCACTTCAACTGGCACTACAATATACTGAGACTGCTATCCTACAATCTACCGAACCTCCAGCGTTACCGACAGAGGACATTATGGACTTACTAAACCTTTGCCTGACATCAACTTACTTTCAGTACAACGGCAAAAACTACAAACAGTTACACGGTACAGCTATGGGGTCTCCAGTTTCTGTTGTTGTAGCAGAAATTGTGATGCAGAACATCGAGGAAAGCGCCCTTTCGACTTGCCGACAGACGATACCACTTTGGTTACGCTACGTTGACGATACTTTCACGGCCGTACGACACGACGAAATCGACGCATTCCACCACCACCTTAACGAACAAAACACTGACATACAGTTTACTAGAGAGGTCGAAGAAAATGGTAAACTACCTTTTCTAGACTGCTTGGTAAGCCGTGACGACAATTCACTACGGACAACAATTTACAGGAAACCGACACATACTGACAGATTACTGGACGAGTCATCCTACACCCGACATCACACAAAGCCACTACTATCAGGACTCTTACCCGACGAGCGCAATTAGTATGTAATACGACAGACAGCTTATCCGACGAGAACAAGTACCTGAACCGTGTTTTTTCAAAGAACAACTACAACGAAGACTTTATCCAACGTAACACTCACAGACCTACTACCTCTACCGAAGCTAACGGCAACGCAACTCATACGACCACAGCCACTGAATGTCAGACAACTCGCCCCCTGGACAATTAGCCCCAGACGATTAGCCCCCAGTCTTTGGACAATTAGCCCCCAGTCCCTGGACGATTAGCCCCCAGTCTTAGTTTATGTAAAGGAGAAGTTACGTTCATCTGTTGGTCATTGATGATTATGAGTTTGTGGCTCCTAAAGGAGCCCTTTTTTTTTGTGAATGTCTATCTTTATTAACATTTAAATAAACACCGATTGACATTAACAAGTAGTCGCCAATAAGTTAAAGTTTCGAAGTTTCGTCCCTGGTTTCTTTCCTTTCCTATTTAAACAACATGACGGAGAAACATTCGTAAAGTATGTAAACAGAAAGAACACAGTTCATTTTTGTAGAATATATAAACAGAAAGAACATAGTTCACTTTATAATTCGATACGCACGGCAGAGAAACGTTCATAACAAGCAAACAACAAGACAGCAAGAACGTAGTTTACTTTATAATTTAACACGCATGGCAGAGAAATGTTCGTAAAAAGCAAATAACAAGAACATTGTTTATTTCATAATATATGATAGGGAAACGTTCGTAAAAAGTAAAGGACAAGAACATAATTTATTTCAAGGTTGGTGGGTTGGGGGCTAATAATTCAGAGACTGGGGGCTAATCGTCCAAATACTGGGGGCTAATCGTCCAGAGACTGGGGGCTAGTCGTCTGGGGCTAATTGTCCAGGGGGCGAGTTGTCCGGATACCATTTTTCTCATTAACAAAAATCAATTGTTTGAATATTCAGAGGGGAATTCTCGGCCCACGAAAGAGCTATAACTTTGACACTCAATCAAAATAGACAGCTGATCACGCTTTATCTTATACATTAAGAATTGTGCAGAAAATCTTCTTTCCGGCCAAGATATAAGCGCATGAATATTAAAACAACAGAAATTGGTTAATGAGCTTTTGGGGACCTTAAGGTAGCCCCAGTTCAAGATGTCTATTTTACTCATAAAAATTAAACAATTTCTAATGTTTAAACATTCAGGGAGGAATTTCTTAGCCCACGAAAGGGCTGTAACTTTGACACTCAATCAAAATAGACAGCTGATCGCGCTTTAACTAATACGTTAAGAATTGTTCTGAAAATCCTCTTTCAGCAAAGATATAAGCACATGCATATCAAAACAAAAGAAATTGGTTAATGAGCTTTTAGCTCATTAACAAAATTCTATTATTTAAATATCCAGGGGAGATTTTCGCAGCCCATAAAGGAGCTGTAACTTTGACACTTGGCCGCAGTAGACAGCTAATCTCGTTCTTTCTAAAGCGTTATGAATTATCCATAAATATTCTTTTTGATGGAGATATAAGCGCATGAATATTAAAACAATTGAAATTGGTTAATGAGCTCTTGGGGAGATAGACACAACCCTAAATAAAACGGGCTATTTTTGCTCATTAATTAAATTGTATTGTCTTAATATTCAGAGGTGATTTTCTTGGCCCAAGAGAGAGCTGTAAGCTTGACACTTAAGCACAAAAGACAGCTGATCACGCCCTTTTTAACGCGCTATGAATTGTCCTGGAAATCCTCTTTTTGATTGAGAGATGAGTTCATAAATATTGGAACAAAAGAAACTCGTTGATGAGCTTTTGAGGACATGGACATGAACCTAAACCAAAGGGAGTAGTTTGCTCTTTAACAAAATTCTATTATTTGAATATTCAGAGAGGAATTTCTCCACCCAGGAAAGAGCTGTAACTTTAACACTTAATTGCAATAGAAAGTTAATGAAGCTCCTTCTAATGCGCCATGAATTGTCCTGGAAGTCCTCTTTTCGGCCAAGATAAAATATTTAAAACAAAAGAAATCGTAAATGAGCTTTTGTAAACACCTAACCCCTGATCAAGAGATCCACTTTGCTCATTAACAAAATTCTATCGTGTAAATATTCTGAGGGGATTTCATCAGCCCACAAAAGAACTGTGACTTTTACTCTTTCAGATAACAGACAGCTAATCATTCCCTTTTTAACGCGCTATGAATTATCATGGTAATCTTCCTTTTTGGCAGAGATATAAACGCACAAATATTGAAAGAATGGACACTCGTTCATAAACTTTTCGAGATATCAAGCCAATTAATTTAGTTTAAGAGGTAGCCTTTTGCTCATTTTGGGGTTTTCTCAGCCAATCGAAGAGTTGTTACTTAAACAACTGCACACAGTAGACAGCTAAACGGGTTATTTTTTAATTCCTTGAGTCGTTGTATCTTAAAGTTTCATGAAATATATAGATATATATACATTTTGGTTCAGAAACAAATTCGTTGTGTATTTCGAAGAGATAGATAGCATTACTACAGTTTAAGTTCTTTTTAAGATAAATAGACAATTGTTAGAATTGAAATTATTCCAACACTCGTTGTTTTGTTTTCTCTTTCTTTATTCTCTCTTACTACACAAGTTATTACAACGGGGACTAGCTCTGATCTCTCGAGGAAAGTGTGGGTCACCAGTTATAAAGATGACACTTATGGAGCATCTCTAAGCTTCGTCATGTTTTCACACTTAAATAGCGAATCACGTTAGGCTACGCAGAACGGAGTTCGAAAAACCAAGTAAATACCTTTGCGATGTTTACGCTTCACGAAATGTCTTTCTAACTTAAATTTCTTGGTCTTACAGTCAAGTTCGGGCAAAACAAAAACAAGATTGACAATATAAAAATTATAATAAACTTAGTAACAGAATTAAAATCAGACTTGAAAAGATATCTTTAAAGAAAATAGTCCTTGAAGGCTGTTGCATAACAGCAGAATAAACACAAAATTCGGAGATGAAAGGGCGTACCCAAGGTACCGTCCCTGAAAGAGCTACGTGCTAGTCGTATAAGTTATCTAATTACAAATTCAGTGCGGAAGATCAAAAGTACTACATGTCTACACTTTAAGTCACCTCTAAGAAAAGTAAGTTTTTGAACGTGCTAAATTCAAAACTCAAAACTATTTTCCTGATCGGGAATTCGACACGGATTTAGCCTAAAAACGAGAGTATTAAATGGATGTAAGTATAAAGCAGGGTTATTTCCAGGAAATTCCTGCACGGGATCAATTTTTATAGGGTAGAGTCATTTTCCCATTTTTCCCAGTTTTTAGCAACATAATGGAAATATACCGGTATCTAGCCGCAAACCGCACTTTACGCAAAACATCTGTTTCCATGTCAATTTCACGATCACGATAAGGAAAAGGTGACCAAACTTTATGTGTAAGGTAAGACCGCCAAAAGGAATAAGAAATGATCAACTGGCTTATTAAAATGTTTACTGAATGGCTCATGCAAATATGTTTTTTCCATTTATTTTCCAACACTAATAAAGGAAACCCTTACAATGTTTTTAGATTAGATATATTTCTATCTTTTTATCGTTTAACACTATAAATGGTATGATAATAAGATAATAATCCTAATAATCCTATGAAATTCAAGAGAGCAAATTCGTGTATCAGCCTTTATAATTTAAGCCAGATCAGTCGGTTACAAGCATAGCACATCTCTTTAACGCTACATTCTCACAAAGAGCACATAAATAAACCATAGCATAGTCGATAAAGGCAGGTTTTCTGCACAAATAACACATTACCAAGTTTGGCGGTCCTAGAAGCTGATGCGCATGACAAACCCTAGCAGCCTGCATGTCATTTCTCCAAGGCGTAAACCGACCACAGATGAAACACGAGTGCTCGCCAAAAGCTCCACGTTTCATGTTGCAGAACATACAGATGTGAACGTTGTGAGAGAAGGCGGTTCCTGGTAGGAGTCTCATGTCACAACGCAAATCCTGGAGGAGAAGACGAGCAGCTCACTATTAACCTTTTTGATCCCTAAGAGTGACCAGCATATAATTTCTCCTTACAATATCACCCCTGAATCACATATTGAGGGCATGAGAAGAATGGAAATGATCACCAACTTTGTTAAACGAATTCTCCCTGTCTACACTTTAGGAAATGCATGTAGATTAGTATGAATAATTTGCATCTTGATGTTAAAATGTAAAGGGTTATGAGTTAAATAGCGTATGAGACATGCACTGTCAGGAAAATGAGCCCACGCTCCTTCCCCCCACCCCCCCCCCCTTTCTTCTAAGAGCAGCAATTAGTCACGTCACGTACCCTGACCTTCAACGGCCAAGCAGGTCTGGGCAGGTCAAGTCGGGCAGCATGAATACCTTATTCGAAAGAGCGGTAGAATTTGAGCCCATAACCTACAATCGTGACCAAACGTCCCAAAAGCTCGCAAACACACTCTAAATGACTCCAACTCACACATGTATACATAGATATTGCAGATAACATTTGTAGTGGTGCTGTAAATTAATTGATCTCTACCCACCCCCTCCCACCACCAACATTTGTAATGGTGCTTTCAATTGATCGACCTCTCCCTCTACCCAACCCCCTCCCACCACCAACATTTGTAGTGGTGCTTTCAATTGATCGACCTCTCCCTCTACCCACTTCCCCCCCTACCATCAACATTTGTACCGGTGCTTCAAATTGATCGACCTCTCCCTCTACCCACCCCCCTTCAAATACTTCCACCACCAACATTTGTAGTGGCGCTTCAAATTGATCGACCTCTCCCTCTACCCACCCTCCTCCCTCCACCAACATTTTTACTGGTGCTTTCAATTGATGGACCTCTCCCTCTACCCAACCCCCTCCCTTCACCAACATTTGTACTAGTGCTTTAACTTGATCGACCTCTCCCTCTACCCACTTCCCCCCCTACCATCAACATTTGTACCGGTGCTTCAAATTGATCGACCTCTCCCTCTCCCTCTACCCACCCCCTCCTACCACCAACATTTGTAGTGGTGCTTTCAATTGATCGACCTCTCCCTCTACCCAACCCCCTCCCTTCACCAACATTTGTAGTGGTGCTTTCAATTGATCGACCACTCCCTCTACCCACCCCCCCTACTACCACCACCAACATTTGTAGTGGTGCTTCAAATTGATCGACCTCTCACTCTACCCACCCCCCCCCTCCACTACCACCATCAACATTTGTAATGGTGCTTCAAATTGATCGACCTCTCTTTCTATCCATCCCATCCCATCCCCTCCCACCACCACTAACAACAATGTTAAGAACGAAAGGAAAAGTTAGAGAGATTGAAATCATCACCATTTGGGGGTGGGGGCGGGGGGAGGACAGCACCTCGAATCGCGCTGAGAGTGCTTTTGCAAATGAATGTGATTGAATTTTGTTCAAGAACGTAGCTCCAGTTGCTATCTCAACAACTATAAACTTTAAAACCCAACAGAGGATCAACCAGTTGATTTTCTATTTTAGAAATTTAAGTACTTTCTTTTATGGACTTTTCTTGTCCAACTGCAAGATTTTTTATAGATTTTCAAATTTCAAACTACCTCATAGTAGCGGTCTTTCCATTGTCCTGGTTTTCCAGAGCGCTCCTCGTTCCTCAGAAATTCCAGCAGCCTTTTCCTTTCCCCGGCCAATTTAAGCTGTTCTGGTGCCATGAAGATCACTCGGTCTTTATCTTTACAGTGAAGTTCAAAGTAATCAGCAAGTTTCAAATGGAATTTTTTCTTTTCCTCAGAATCCTGGAGAATAGTTTCCAGGACAACCTGTAAAAATATATTAAAACGCGAATTTTAAGAAATGTGGAAATTTATTTTCGACCAAACTTCGGACACGAATTTCTAAAATCGGACACAAGTGTCCAAAATTTACACACTACCGTCTGAAAACAGACCCTAGTGTCCAAAATCGGACAGTACCGGCCAAATTTGGATGTCGACATCCAAAATCTGATAATATTATCTGAAAACGGACGATTGAGTCCGAAATCGGGCGATGCTGTGTGAAATAAGGTTACTCACCTCTTGTATTGAAGCGTGGAAGAAATCAAGTCTTTCCTCTTCTCTTCTGCCAGCAACGTTTCTAAGAAAAGGTTTCAGTGTTCGACGCACTTGTGCCCAGACCATCATGGCCACAGCTTTGGAAAGGTCATCACTCAGGAGGTATTGGAGCTCTGTTTCACCCAAACCACCTCTGCTGCAAGCCAATAGTCCCAAAACCTTCAAGAAAAATAGAGAACGTTATTTTCGCTAAGTTTAATTTCATCAACATACTACTGCTTGGAAGGGATGAGAATAAAGATGTATGCATCACACTGGCTTTCTGTGCTTTAACCTCATCCACCCACACAGATACTCCGAAAAAAAAAAAGGGAGAAGCCAAAAGAACAACTTTTATGGGCAAGTTTCATTTTTTAAAAATTTATTTTACTCCAACGATTGACAAGGTCAGCAGCTTCTTGAAGGAGTGTTGTTAAGTAATATGACGTATGCCTATGGTGACAAGATGACGTCATAAATTTAACTTCTTGTCCTTCTGATTAGAGAAGAACAATCAAACACAAGTTTAAAGTTAAACGACTGATCGGCCACTGAATTCTAATCAGCTAGAGTGAGATACCTTTTGAATGTTGTCGTCTTCGTCCTCTGCTGTGAGCCTGTTCATTATAAACTCCAGAAGTTTTTTCAACGGAGACGGCAAATCTTTGATGTATTGAGTGATGTTCTCAAAAACTCCAAATACTCTAAGTTCCTCACAAGACAGTGATAGCCAAAGAAGGTTTGACGCCCCTTCAGAATCGATCAGCAGTTTCATCTGCTCCGCATCCAGTTTCTTGAAACATCAGACAAAATAGTTAATGATCACCAACAATCAAATGACGCTGAGTCAAAATAAAGCAGTTAGTTGCAACAGCCAATAAAAAGAAACGTAAACATCGCAATGAACCAAAGGGAGCTCAAAGAAAGCATACGTGATACTTGCGCCATGCGCGGGAAAAAGCACGTTGTGATAACCTGATTGGTTTTGACTGAAGAGGTGTGACATGTTTTGAACCAAGTAGAGGGAATAAGCGACACTTGGTTTAACTTGACTTGTCTGTCTTAACATTATCTTTGTTAGGTCAAAATGCCAGGTATTGAATAGCACTGAACAATACCTTGTTGTATTTGCCCAATTTATGTTCCACTATCTCTTGTCGGGCAGACGTATCAAGGTCTGGTAGAGGAAGGGGTACTGGACTAAGTGCGCGGCGCTCGTCGTACAGGAGGATAACAGAACGACTGTCAGTCACTGCACTGATTACGCAACGAACATTGTGCGGGAAAGAGCTTGGAAGCCAGTCCATATGTTCTTGGGATTCAACATCTGATAGCTACCACATAAATTTAAAATTAAGTAAAAAAAAAGAAGTCCGCGTAGAGATGAAAGGAAATGCACAAAGTTGCTTTTCATTGTGCGACGTGCGCACGTTTAAAAAGGACCTGCATGTTTCTTGACACTAAAAGGCGGGAAATTTTCGCGCCAAAGCTTCGCCGGTGGGCTACGCAAGACATTTACTAACGCGAAACTCGAAGGAAAACAAGAAATTTTGTATATCTTTGGATTTTTCTGCTTTTGTTTTTTAATATACTTGGAAAAGACTGTAAATAAAAGGTCTTACTATTACCTGGTTGACTGCATCGATCATTATCACAAACACCTCTTCCCGTTTACCAAGCTCTTCTACGCCTTCCTTGATCTCTTGTTGAAGTTGTTTCACACTCATGTCTGCATCGAGGGTAAGAAGGAAATGATTCTCTTACTTAACTGCACATTAATCACTGAGTTCTCTCGATTCTTTGTTAAGACGGGAATTTAACACGCAGATTGAGGTTTATCATTGTCTGCGGCCAGTCCTAACTGTGCATAAACATCAGTTTCAAGGGAAAAAATCGCGATTCAGTTTTAAAGATCAGCATTCAAGAATTTGCGAGTGTCTTATACATAAAATGTTCAGTAGCAATGTACAGACCTTCCACACTAAAACCTTTATTAAACCATCGTACAAGCTTTTCCAGGAGTTTTAAAGGTACCGTTGATCCAGGACATGCCCCAACAAAGTGAAAGAACAACGGGAGTCCAAGATTTTGTATCTCCAGCGTACAATAAGCCATGAGTGCTGACTTCCCAGAGCCTGAAGACCCCAGAACTATTAGAGGAGGAAGACGTCCTGAGCCAGACCCATCAGATATGGTTCCATGTTGAACATAGTTCATTACAGTAGTAATCTCTTCCCCACGACCAAGTACAAGTTGGCCTCTCAATTCAATGAACTGATTATGCATTGAGAGCTCTGCGGTTTGGAGGATTGGATGTCAAGAAATAAAATTTACAAACAATGTTCTGTGATACTATTGATAATATGCTAGCCAGGCCCTCATGATAAGAGCTGCAGGATGCGCGTTTCTCCGCCTGCAAGAAGATTGAAGACGTGCACACTTTTCATCAGCTTGCTTTGCAAAAGGCCTCACATTTTCTCGCAGATGAAGAAACGCTCGTGCCGATGCGTTGATGACGAGGGTTTGCTATGACTATAACACAACTGACGACAACACGCAGCATTACGACTTGGCCTGTTCTCGAGCCTGGACCTATCAACCGATACCGAGCTACCTGTTAAGTCAACCCATTTCCACCTGAAATTAAGCTGCTTCAAAGAAAACTCACCAATTTCTTCCACTGACAATGTCTGGTTTACGGTCGGAATTAATCTGTTGATAGCTGACTTGAAAAATTCGAGCACAATTTGACAGAAAACCTCTAACCCTTTGAGTTTGACCTGCAATATCAATAAAAGTCGAACAAAATAAATTTATTTTTAGTCAAAGGTAAATTGTCTAAACCACTCAACACTATGACTGATAATGTGGTTGGCTCGAGTGTTGGACTTTCAACAGAGCAATTATTTGTGATGAGGTTGTTTACCTAGCAGAGCTTTACAGAGTGCATCTCTAGATACCTTCTAGTATAAAAGAGTACTGGGCAACTGTTGTGGAAGCTTATTGCAATGCCAAAGCTTCCCACTTCGAAGAAGAAGAAGAAGAGCCCTTGGTCCCCCCTCCAGCAGCAGAAATCAGAAGTGGAAGAATTTTGTGAGTTGCCTTAAATACAGAATTCATTTCAAATTAGGGCTTACTTTTGAAAATGCATGTAAATTTTCTTTTATAGTCAAGAGCGTATTTCTGAGAATATAATGACCAAAACAATCGAATTTTTAAACTTTGGACAACACTGTCCGATTTGGACCCTAGTGGCCAATTTTGTATTTTGGACCCTAGTGGCCAATTTTGTATTTTGGACATTAGTGGCCAATTTTGTATTTTGGACTCTAGTGGCTGATTTTGTATTTTGGACCCTAGTGGCTGATTTTGTATTTTGGACCCTAGTGGCCAATTTTGTATTTTGGACACTAGTGGCCGATTTTGTTCTTTGGAACCTAGTGGCTGATTTTGTATTTTGGACCCTAGTGGCCAATTTTGTATTTTGGACCCTAGTGGCTGATTTTGTATTTTGGACCCTAGTGGCCGATTTTGTATTTTGGACATTAGTGGCCGATTTTGTATTTTGGACACTAGTGGCCGATTTTGTATTTTGGACCCTAGTGGCCGATTTTGTATTTTGGACTCTAATGGCTGATTTTGTATTTTGGACTCTAATTTCCAATTTTGTATTTTGGACTCTAATGGCTGATTTTGTATTTTGGACCCTAGTGGCTAATTTTGTATTTTGGACCCTAGTGGCTAATTTTGTATTTTGGACACTAGTGGCCAATTTTGTATTTTGGACCCTAGTGGCTGATTTTGTATTTTGGACTCTAATGGCTGATTTTGTATTTTGGACTCTAATTTCCAATTTTGTATTTTGGACCCTAATGGCTGATTTTGTATTTTGGACTCTAATGGCTGATTTTGTATTTTGGACTCTAATGGCTGATTTTGTATTTTGGACCCTAGTGGCTAATTTTGTATTTTGGACTCTAATGGCTGATTTTGTATTTTGGACCCTAGTGGCTGATTTTGTATTTTGGACTCTAATGGCTGATTTTGTATTTTGGACCCTGGTGGCTAATTTTGTATTTTGGACTCTAATGGCTGATTTTGTATTTTGGACCCTAGTGGCTAATTTTGTATTTTGGACCCTAGTGGCTAATTTTGTATTTTGGACTCTAATGGCTGATTTTGTATTTTGGACACTAGTGGCTGATTTTGTAATTGGACCCTGATGGCCAATTTCATATTTTGGCCCCAGTGGCTGATTTTGTATTTTGAACACTAGGGGCCGATTTTGTATCTCGGACTCTAGTGGCTGATTTTATAATTTGGGCCCTAGTGGCCAATTTTGTATTTTGGACTCTAGTAGCCAATTTCATATTTTGGACCCTAGTAGCCCATTTCATATTTTGGGCACTAGTGGCTGATTTGGTATTTTGAACCCTAGTAGCCAGTTTTGTATGTTGGACCCTAGTGGCCCATTTCATATTTTGGGCACTAGTGGCTGATTTGGTATTTTGAACCCTAGTAGCCAGTTTTGTATGTTGGACCCTAGTGGCCCATTTCATATTTTGGGCACTAGTGGCTGATTTTGTATTTTGAACCCTAGTAGCCAGTTTTGTATGTTGGACCCTAATGGCCCATTTCATATTTTGGACACTGGTGGCTGATTTGGTATTTGGGACACTAGTGATTGATCTTGTGTTATGAACTCTAGTGGCTGATTTTGTATTTTGGATTTTTGTGGCCGATTCTGTGGTTTGGACACTAGTGGCTGACTTTTTATTTTGGACACTGCTGGCTGATTTTGTATTTTGGACCCTGGTGGTTGATTTTGATTTTTGACCCTAGTGGCCAATCTTGTATTTTGGACTCTAGTGGCCAATTTTGTATTTTTGACCCTAGTGGCCAATCTTGTATTTTGGACTCTAGTGGCCAATTTTGTATTTTGGACCCTGGTGGTTGATTTTGATTTTTGACCCTAGTGGCCGATTTTGTATTTTGGACCCTAGTGGCCAGTTTTGTATTTTGGACACTAGTGGCCAATTTTATATTCTGGATTAAAAATTAAAAAAATTCCAATTTTTTTGGGACTTATCATGGATTCTTGATATCCTAAGAACTACACACTTAAGTACTTCAAATACATAAAAGTTACAGAAACAGCAATTACTACCTTTGACCTTCCTGTTGATTCATCAATCCCACCATATTGACAAGAATAATCAAATACTTGTCCAGGATATCTTTGTCTCAGATTTTCCTTCAATGCCTTCAAAAGAATTGTGGTATACGTTTTAGAGAAATTTGCCAAACTAGGAAAAAAAACAGTAGATGCTCAACAGTACTCCTTTGGACCTTTACTTCAGTATGCATATTCTCCATACTGTTCTCTGTACATTTCCTAAGGTGCTGTCAAGGAGTATTTGTTTCACTGCAGTCAAGAGCTCCTTTAGGTAAAAGATTACATTAAAGTAGCTGGTACTTCAGGAAAAAAGTAGCAGCTGAAAACAGTGGTGTAAAAGTTTATTCATACAGAATTTACCCTTAAATTACCTTTAAATGTGCCTTATTCAGAGGATGATCATCCACAAATGCTTTCATCATCTGTGGGGGCAGATCTGCTAAAAACTCAGAATCTCTCAAAAGAAATAGTGCATTTTTATTTTGCATCTTGTATGCAGCATGAATGATTTCCATGTGTGTTATTGATGTTGGAAAAATCCACTGGTACTCCTCTTGAATTTCTTCTGATATTTCTGATGAATCTGGAATCCATCCATATCTATAGATATAAATGATCTTGTTTAGTTTAAGCATAACTGTTACATTTGTGTATTTGATACAGTTTAAGTGACTTAAATACTAAAAAAAGGTAACAATCAAAAGTTATTTGAGACTAAAAGCTGTGAGATAACTTATAAATAAGTTAAAAGAATTTGGTTTTAGATCAAGATAAAAACTTCCATCTGATAAGTTTGATTATTCTTGTAACCTGTTTGATGGATAAAGTATGGATATCAAAATGGAGAAGTTACATGTTAATCACTTCTGGGAGTTTAAGGGTTAAGGATTCAGTTTAGACTCTAGAAATTAGAAAAAAAATTTGAAAGTGGTATACATTACCGCTCTCCCAGCATGTTTAAGAAAAATGGTTCCCCATCTGCCTCTGCTGCACAGCGATTAATTTCACCCAAACAAGTTCTGATAGTTGTTTCTGTTGTGGAGTCTTTTGGGACACCCCATCTGAGGTCACATTCAATCAAATTGATTGACTTCTCTTCACACCACTCACGCAGCTCTGGAACAACCTATCAGACACAAGACTCATCACAGTAAATCAAGGGCTTAAGTAAAAGCTGGCTACGAGCAGTCTACTGCCCCCCTATAAAACTTCTTGCTGCTGTCTGTGAAGTCTGCAAGTGTTTAGGTTTTGCCTTGTGGCCCCTTCTCCTATATTCATGTTCACAATACTGTAATTCCTAAAGAATTAACCATGGGTAAATAAAAGTGATTTGACCTGGTTTGAAATTCTATTTAGTCCTTTATCATCTGATGCTTAAGTTGAAATTGACTTAGCCAGAACAACTTAATCCTTTAACCCCTAGGGGTGACTGGCAGCTAGTTTCTCCTTACCATATCACCCCTGAAGCAAACATTAAGGTCAGGAGAGTTAGGGATCTCATCACAAACTAAAGAAGTTCTTGATTGTTAGACAAATTGTTAGACAAAAATAGTATGGAGAATATGCATACGGATGTCAGGTCGTCAGGGTGTAAAGGGTTAAGCTTAATAAGTCTTAACACCAACAGTATCTTCCTCCTTTCTCTTCACACAAAATTCTTTGTATCCACCCTCACTTTACCCAAGGCGACTAGGACTCCTTACCCTCCTCCCATACACCTCTCTTAGTGATGTCTCCTGGGAATCAGAGAACTCTCTATAAATAGTTTCTGACAATTCTTCATTTTCACATGACGTCACACTTCTTGAAGATTTTGAAAATTCAGTTCTAAGCAACGTTAAACAACTGGGTCAGGGGTGCTGGCAATGCCTCGTTTTGTTTTGGTACATAATTCTCATTATAAGGAGGCACCAAAGACGCTGCGCCTCGTGTGCCACTTTTTTGTTCTTACCACATTTTGACGTCATCTGTGATCTATTACTGAACAGATGCACGGCAACTTGGAATCTATTTGTTAAATTGTGCACGCTCATGACGTCAGCAAACGAATCCCTTGAGAATTTTGTATTCAATCAGAAAATAAAGTTCATTCACACGCATGAATTCACCTGTCAGTTTTTTGACCAATCTAAGACAAGATCGCTTACAGCGTAGCGAAATGCTTTCCTGAAACAAAATTATCAACGCGCTGAAGCGTAACAGAGGGAATATTAACCCATTTACAACATTTAAACCATCGGGTTGAAAATGTCATAAAACAATTGGTTTATACGTCAGCTGTGCGTTCATCGAGATATGAAGCACTTGGAAGTTTGGAGAGCACTCAATACACTTGACCTTTAATTCAGAAATAGCCGACAACTGAATTATCTTTTCTATATCTGATGATGATAAAGAAATTAAATACCGTTTACCATTGTATAATCAGAATTGAGTGCTCTTACGCATCTTTCGTGCTCTCCAAACTTCCGCGTGCTTCATATCTCGATGAACGCACGCTGACGTATGAACGTATGTTTTCTTTATGAAATATACCCTCAAGCTAACTAAGAAGCATCATTTTATAAGAAAATTGAAGACTAGGAAAAAGACAAAAATTAAACAATAATAATTCAAAGCTTGCTTTGTACAAACTACCGTAAAGGACAAAATGCGAATATTAAAAAAGACACAAGACTTACCTTTTTAACTAAAACTTCCCTTTCGGCATGATAATCGGCGAACGTTGATGAAACAAATAGCCTAACGACTCTCCAACCTCTAATTCTTGGGTCAAAAGGCGATGATAAAGATTTTTTAACCGTTTCATCTCCGCAAATATTCCCGATATCCTGCCAGCACTTGTCAACAACTGCTTGTATTTCTTCTTCCGAAGTTTGTGTTAACATATTCATCAGATGATCAGCCATGGTAAATTCTGACAAGAAAGAGGTTCAACGAGTGAATTAGTAATTCATAATGGTAATTGAACTGAGTGGAGTGCAATTTGGGCTGAAATCATACGCGTGATTCCAAAATTGAACGAGCGCGCAGCGCGAGTTCGATTTGAAATCACAAGTTTGATTTCAGACCAAAATTGCACAACACGAGGTTCAATTGCCACTTTATTACATCCATTTTGAAATCGCCCAAATACAGGACTTGGTCAATTCAAATATTTTATTAATACAATACTGAGCTGGTTTAAAATTAAATTCATCCATTTTTTGGGAGGAAAAAATAAGAGTTTTGGCAACAAAAGTTTCAAAATTTGCCATATGATACTCCATGTCTTTCATCTTCCTGCAATATGATCGGTTACTTTAAACAAGCCTTGAAGTCTAATTGGTTGTTTTGTTTTTAGTGTAGCCTCCTCACTGGCTGGGGAAAAGATGCGATTTAAAGCAAAAAATGGTGCAATTTGTGAATAAATCGCACCAATTAGAGCCAATCAGATTACAGGGACCATCAGTGATTTCAAAATGGGTGTAATAAAACGTTTAATCAAAGTGGCGACTCAAGCGAACACATCCAGCGAAGTTAATAACTTTTATCTTAACTCCTTGCTCGTGAGTATGGTCAACCGTGTGTCTCGAAGCGGAACAATGTATCAAATATCAATGTGAAAACACCGATGGCAGAAATATGAGTCGGACTAGCGACTAAATGAATGTCAGACAACTCGCCCCATAGAGCAGAGGGGCATTTTGTTGCGCATGTCCGGTAAATTTTAGTTTGATACGAGAAACCGCTGGTATGCGCCTGCGTCGGTTTCCCTCTCGAGAATCACGAAAGAAAAGAAGCAGTAAAATACGTCGGGAAAAACAATGGTTCGAGTATTTGAGACAACCTTTCTTCTCATTTTTTCTTCTGTAACGTAGATGGAAGCGGCAAATCCTTGAAATTATTGTGTGATATGTGGAAGGAAGTTATTTTCAGAATGCAAAAGATTGTTCGAGTCTTGTCTCGTGATTGTCTGGGCGATCGATGAAGATGATGTTATTTTTGAAGGATGCAAGTGGCCTGTCGAAGAGTACAAAAGAATTGGATAGTATACTTTTATCGTGTCATTGCTATCTTAAGTTATCGGTGATCATTTGAAGTACTCGCCTTTCTGTAAGCGTTTTTTAGAGCTTCAACTGTACTGCTAGTGCAGTGTACCTCCAATTTTGGCAAAAATGTAAAGTTTACAAAGGTTTATGTCTTGTTTCAAAAGTTTTTTTTTGACATGAATCACAACCGGCAGGGCCGATTACCAAAATAAAAAAGGTCAATGTCGAGTAAAGAAAAGTAAGACAATGCTAATGCTAGAGATATGGTAGCTCCATCTGGTTAGAAATGGAGGAATAATTATGGATTTTATCAGAGTCAGATAAAGTCTTTTCAATCATTAGTCTCGGAAATATCATCAGATATGATCGATGATGTGGGGAAATTGTGAAAGAAAACAAGTACTACTTTGGGCTTCCAGTTGTAAGATGAATAGTTAAATCAATTATTACCCAGTGAAAATCACTATCATTTATCATTTCAACTGCACAAAAAAATCATATACACTCTTTGCAACCTTATTCTCCAACCTATTAAATTACAAGAGTTGTGTGACAATTTGATGGTCTGAAAAGACTCTTACACATGCTAAACAACAAAGAACCGGTAAGGCTGATATTTAACAGTGAGGATAAAAAAAAAGAAAAAAAAAAGCCTTTTCTTTTCAGGAATAAGACTTAGTGAGGTCAGATTAAACTAATGTGAAGAGGTTTGTTGATCTCTTTATGAAAATGGATGCTTTACATCTATCAGAATTTAGAGAAATGAGACTTAAGTCAAAAGGGGACTTTGAAATTGCATATTCTGCAGTAATGGGCATCAGCTTGGATGCCTATTTGCAGAAATTAATAGTTTTCAAGCCAGGGGTTTGGCTGTGCTAATTTTAAGGCAGAAAATCATAAATCAGTCGCTTGAGAAATTTTTAGCTCTGCCTGGAAGCTCAAACACTGTTATGGAACAGGACAATATTTCACCTGATCACTCCTCATATTCTTTTCCCATGAAATTTGTACAAAACTTTCAAAAAACTTTATTGGTAATTTTATAGTTGCAAAAAAGGTATAGACACAAGTTGCATATAGCATAAGCTAGTTGAGGCAAGTTGTGTGGAGAGAACAAAAGATTGATAATTTATACCAGTAGTAAGCTTCTGGTACTAATGACATTCTCTTGAATGCCAGCTTGCCACAGCAAATGTCACACCTATCCTTTCTGTCAATAGTACTGACCATATGTAGTGGGGTCACTTCACATCTCCCTAAACAGCAGAGAACACAATAGTTAATTCCAATCATCAGTCTCAATTAAGAAATAAAAATTGAAGGATCAAGACTTATCTGGCAAAGAGAAATACAAGTCAAACTAGTTTGAAGACATTTTAACCCGAAATTCGTTTTCAAATATGACAGAAATACTGTAGTTCACATTCTAAAGAGAGTTCCAGCCCCTTGAGTAATTATTCATTTATTGTATCGCTCACCTCATGTTTTAAGAACCAGAGAAAGTTAGATAATTTTAATCTGCGAGTTTTATAGTACACTTCGACTCAAAATTCATTTCGTATGGCAGAAGTATTCTACTGAAATAAACAAGACAGAATGAAGCTGACGCCATCCGTTTCGAATAACACATGAACATGAAGAAAACGGCACCAGTTTAAACTCATGAGACAAAGCCCACGCATTTTTTTGAGGTAAATGAACTGGTTAGACCGAAGGCTAAATAAATAAACAATGAACTGACAGTGGTGAGAGATTTGGGGGCCATGTGATAAAACAAGTTCTACCGAAGTTTATCCTCTAGTTAGCCCTTCAAGCCCAAAAGGGCAATCAGAAAAATTCTCACCAAAACACAGCAACAAAATTAGATAAAACCGCAGATGATCGAGGCAAGACTATAAACGTTGTTAAGACACATGCCTACGTACCACCAAAATGGTGAGAGCAAAATGGCCAAAGACAGTTGTGAGCCATGACTTTGAAAATCCACCTCAACCTCCCAAAAACGAATTCGCCGAAGGTTGTAGAAAGAGCAACTCAATCCTGAAGCTGGAACATTTTTTTAAGCCTTGTGTCCAATGGGACAACAAAGAGAAAGAAGAGAAGATGTTATTTGAAGTGATTTGAAGCTTGGGGGCCACCTCGAACTTAACGTAATTTTATTTCAAAGTTGAAGTAAAATAAGATCAAATTGTAAACTACCTTCTATTATCGTAACGAATATCTCACGATCGCCTCCACACATCACTTCGTGATTTATAGAAGTAAGACATCAACATCTTAAGACTAACCTTCAAGGTTTGTAGTCTCATGTGCGCATCTTGATCGTCAGCAAATCAAATCTCAAACTTCAAGTTTTCGACCTTTTTTCGCGTTTTGTTCGCACTTTGATCATTAAAATATCCTCATCCGAAGAGCCAGCAAACTCCACAAGTATCCATAGAGTTAGAAATGGTGGTAAACTTGTCATACTCTTCCATCCCTCTCCAAAAAGTATTATAAAAAAGTGTCGATCGCTCAGTTGAAAACCCGCAAAAGCGCGCTGAAAATATCAAAATGGCGCCGAACGCGCCGAACAAATTTTCTTAGCGCATGCGCAGCAAAATGCCCCATGGACAATTAGGTCAGCATTAGATTCCATCTGTACCGTTGCACTTATGTCCTCTCATTGCAGATATGTCCTCTGACGTAATGTGATAGAGTGGCCAATCATATCCTGTGATCTATCGAGCGACACGCGGCTTGGGACTGGTTAAGAGACTCCGTAGTTATGTCTTCAAGCAAAAGTACTTATTCGAGGGGGTCGGGATAAGTGGAAAATTTGACCAGTATTTTCCGGTAACTGATCTCAGGAAAACATGCTGTTCGCATGATCACTGCGAACCGGATCATTGGCCTCTCACATTATTTTCTTTGAAGTTCTATCGTTCCTTCGTTGGCGCCGTGTGATCGCATCGTTGTTATAGCCTAAACGTGGAAGAATAACTCGCTACGTAAATAACAAAGCGACTTTCGACCAAAAGATGCGTTATTGTTCACGCTTTATTTGCAGTCTTGCTTTATTTACTGTCCTCGTTGTTCGACTTGCGACTCCATTGACAACATTTTACACACAAGCTAAGACAAAAGCACAATGTGGCGTCATATCACAATTGTTTTATTTTGTTTAATAGCTGAACATCATAGATTATGGTTCGTCGGCATGAAATTATATATTTTTGACGCTTCGCTGATCTGCTGGAGGTGAGATCGACTGAGAGGTCAAAGTTGTGATAATTTGTCTGCGTCGCGTCACGAAGTCTTCCTTGAATCACAGAAGTTTGGCCTTTGGTTGTTTATTTTAAATATTGTAGGTTTTTGCTGTATCGCACTAAGCCCTCCGTAAAAATTTGAAGTAGTAGATTGTGATGTGATTTTATTGCGGTCCCGCTGATTTTAGCTGTTCTTTTTTTAGTACTGTTTCTAGATCATTGTTGGATTTATTGCACGTTTGGGTGGATTTGTCATAATTTACCCCGTTTATGACAAATTCACACAATGATCCAATCGAAAATCGGAGTAAAGTTGGCTATGGCAAGTCAGTAGGATATATTCCACCTAAAGAATGAATTTCACAGAATTTACCCCGTTTTTCTAGAATTCGCTGATCAAATGGAAAATCTGAGTAAAGATGGCATATGGGAACTTAGCGTGTTGGCCACTTGCGGATGAATTCGTAGAATTTATCCCGTTTTTCTAGAATTCGTTGAAAAAAAATGGAAAATCGGGTTAAAGATTGGATATGGTAACTTGGGATCCTTTTTATTTGGAGGATGAATTCTCAGATTTTACCCCGTTTTTTGCCAAATTCACTGAAAAAAAATGGAAATTCGGGGTAAAGATAGCATATGGGAACTTCGGGTATTATTCACTTGTAACATGAATGCTCAGAATTTACCCCGTTTTTCTCGAATTCACTGATCAAATGGTAAATCGGGGTAAATCGGTGAGCCACTTGCCGATGAATTCGCAGAATTAATCCCGTTTCTCTAGAATTCATTGAAAAAAAATGGAGAATCGGGTTGAAGATTGAATATGGCAACTTGGGATCTATTCAATTTGGATGATGCATTCTTAGATTTTACCCTGTTTTTCTAGAATTTGTTGAAAAAAATGGAAAATCGGGGTAAATATTTTTTTTTTAAATCTGACTGTCACAATATTTTTATTTATTTTTCATAAATTTTTTAATTTATTTTTTAATACAAAAACAACTATATTACTTTAATTACAGCTATATTACTTATATCACGGCTACAGAAAATAACTTACAGTACAGTTACATCTATAGCTTACGTTTTTTGTTTTTTACAAATACGTACGTTACAGTGCAATACAATATTTAAAACAATACTGGTTGAAGAGCGACTAAACAAATAACTATATATTAAAAGAAAAGAAAAGAAAAAAACAAAAAAGCGTTTACAGCTAGAGTGCACTACTCACAATTTATAGAAAAGAAGGTAGTTTAAAAGAAAACAAAAAAGTGCAGGAAAAAAGGATACAAACATCAAATTATATGTAAACAGAATTAAAGAAAACACTAAGTTAATGCGTGTTGTGCTTGTTTTAAGCATGGTTTTTCTTATAATAATGATTTATGCATTATAATGTGAGAAGAAGAGGGGGAAGTTTTTATTTCCGGAGAGATGTTGCGCATTCTGCATATCCATACAAAATATCTAGTGACCACAAAAAGGAAGTTTAGTTTCTTGTTTTTGTGTGGCTTAAGCCCTAGTACTATAAATGGCGATAGATTGAAAATTTCTGCGAAAGGTTCTCCAAGGTTAATTATCCATTGTTTAAGACCTTGCCAGAAACGGTTGGATATATCACAAGTCCAAAATAGGTGGATGAGAGTCTCTTTCTCACTTTTACAAAAAGTGCACTGCTCATTGTCCCTAAGGTTTACCTTGGTAAGAAAAGTGTTGGTGGCTAGTCTTCTGTGCAGTAGCTTAAATTGAAAAACAATCAATTTTGTGATTTTTGTGCACAGAAAAGGAGTTCTGTAAACTGCCATCCAGTCGACATTATCTGGTGTTTCGAGCATGCATTCTGTTGCTCGTCAGAATTTTATATGTTAGTCTTTTTGGTTTTGTCGTCTTTAGGAAGGTGTCGAAGGTAGTTTCGTATGCAGTATTACAGCTGTTGAAGTTAGCTTCATTGCTTTTTTGTAAGGCCTTAACAGCTGATGAGATGCCTTGAAAAGTAAGGAAGTTTGTTTTAGTGTCGTAAAGCTCTTTAAAATCAGAGAAAGATAGGAAACTATTCGCATCATTCATCAAATGGCCCACTGTTTTAACTCCCTTTACAGACCATGAACGATAGTATACAGGTTTGTTACCGACACGTATAAGAGAGTTATGCCATAGACTTTGCGCCTTTAGCTGATCAATGGAGGAGAAATTAGTTTCAAGTGAGATTTCTGACCAGATGTGGAGTATTTCTGAAGTAAAGGCCTTTGCAGTTTTTATAGTTTTTAACAGATCTTGTTTATTAAGGTTGGTACGAAAAATTCGACACCACCTAGATTTTGTAATTCATAGTCAAACAAAAGTTTCCATTTTCCTTGATTTTCCGGATCTAGATATTTTTTATCCAACTTGATTTAAGAGCTTTGTTGAAAATTTTGATATCAATCATCCTTAACCCTCCGTTCTCGTAGTCGTTGATCATTATGTTGTGCTTTACCTTGTCTCCCTTGCCATCCCATACAAAATTGAAGAACATATTATTTATTTCTGTTAGAGCGCTGTGGTTGGACGGCAGAGGGGACAGGATGTAAACCAGTTGAGAGGCAATAAGGCTTTCTAAAACTGTAATTTTTCCTAATAAGGTTAAACGGCGCAGTTCCCAGCAGCTTAAGCTTTGGTTAGTTTTTCGTTGTAATTAGCTTCTATAGTGGTTTTGGGGTTGGTGGAGAGCCATACGCCTAGAGCCTTAACCTTATCTTTTACCTATTTAAAATCTTTGTCGGGTCTAAGATGTGTTTCGTTTCGAATATTCGCACGGATCCACAAAGCTTCAGTTTTCTTGCTATTTAATCGGAGACCAGAAATCTCGCTGAAAAAGTCTAATATTTGTAAGGAGGTTGTTAGAGAGGCGGGCGATCGATCTAAAATAAGGGTAGTATCATCCGCGTATTGACTGATTTTTACTTCTTGTTCGTTTATTTTTATGCCCTTAATGTTTTTATTTTGCCGTATTGTTTCGGCTAGTATTTCTACACAGAGAATAAAGAGATACGGAGAGAGAGGGCAGCCTTGCCTTACCCCCTTTCAAGTTTGAAGAAGTTGCTAGACCAACCGTTGTTAAGAATGCAGCTTTCTGTGTTATGGTAAAAGAGCTTCCAGTTGATAGCAGATTGCCAAAAATTGTAACACTGTAAAGTTTTTGGAAGAAAAGACCATTCTACCGTGTCGAAGGCCTTTTCAAAGTCGAGAAAAAGTAGAAGTCCTGGAATGAATCACAAATCGGGGTAAAGATAGCGTATGGGTACTTCGGCTATTATCCACTTGTAGTAAGAATGCTCAGAATTTACCTCGTTTTTCTAAAATTGGGAACTGAGGGTATTAGCCACTTGGGGGACGAATTCTTAAAATTCATACCGTTTTTCTGGAATTCATTGAAAAAAAAATGGAAAATCGGGTTAAAGATTGGATTTGGCACCCTAGGATCAATTCCACTTGAAGGAAGAATTCTCAGAATTTACCCCGCTTTTCTAGAATTCACTAAGAACATAAACTTCTTTTAAAATTTGTAATTTTTTCTATCTTTCATTTTTAACTAAGACTAGCGAGCCGCACAAAGAAACACTTTTTGTAGTTGTAAGCTTCTCGTTTATTTCAGACGCGTTTCGTCTCTAATTGAGACTTCATTGGGGAATAACTACAATTAAAGAGGAAGAATATATTTTATAGCATGTTGTTGTGCCTAAGTTTTGAATTTCTATGGACGTTAATAATAACTGAAAGCGGGTGTTATAAAAAAACTCCTAATTACAATTAAGTTATTGCGTATCGCTTTATTTTGGGGGGGCTAACGATTAGCGCTAATCGTAGAATTTCACCGCTGAAAAAAGTCATGGAAAATAGGGGTAAAGATGGCATATGGGAACTTAGGGTATTATTAAGTTGTAGCGTGAATTCTCAGAATGTACCCCGTTTTTCTAGAATTTACTGAAAAAAAAA